GAGGAACTCGAATTGTATTTCTTTGAAATATTCTTTCAGTTTTGAAAACAAAAAGAGTTTGAAGGAGCAAGATTAGGGCTCTAGGGTGCATCAGGTAAGATTTCTCAATGAAATTTCGTAGGACAGTCTGCCCTTGCTACCCTTGAAGAATGAGCACGTGCATTATTGTGATGGAAAAAAAGTTTCTCAGCACAACTTTCCAAACCTTTTTCTCACCAATGCAGTTTTTAATCTTCTTAAAACTTTTTTCTAATAAGCCTCCAAAAGCGGCCTGTGTCCTTCAAGAAGCTGTATCAAGATTATCTCTTTGTAATCCCCAAAAAACAAGCATTTTGACAGTTGACCTCTTGCCTTGAATGTAACAGGCTCAGTAGATCCCCTTGGAAACCACTGTTTTGATTGGACTATTTTATGACGGCACCTGAATGAGGCTAACACAAATATATTACTGCAGAACTTGTCTGCAGCCATCCACTGATGTCAGAGACATATTTAAACATGGTTAGTTTGGATAATCCCATGCATGTAAGAACTGGAACCCTACTAGCAATTCTCACCGTTGTATAGCCCACATTTTGTTTATCCATTCATCTCTGATGTACATTTAGGTGGTTTCCATCTTCTGACAGTTAGGAGTAGTGGTGCAGTGAAGTTTGGTGTACATGTGTCGGTGTCTTTGCTTTCTAGTCTTTTGGGTTATATAATAGGAGTGGGATTGTTGGGTCATAGGATAATTCTTTGTGTAGCTTTTGAGGAGCTGCCAAGCTGTTTTCCACAGTGGCTGTACCATTTTGCATATTACTAACTACCTTAAACCTTTAACTCTTAAGACATGAATGTCTGTTGGTTGAGTTCTGGACACAGAGACCAATGCTAATAGTTATTCTCTGCCTTATGTAAGGTTCCTCTTCAGTAGGCTTAGTTGAGTTCTGAACCCTAGCTTCAGGCATGGTGGGGGTGGTTGTACTTGTGAGGAGACTTTTTTAAGGTTGTCATTCTTTATTTCTATTCATTTTTAGCCCATATTTTGTTCTAGACTCTTTTGGAGCCACTAAGTTACCAATGCAGGAACCTTGGTGACACAGTGGTTAAGTGTTTTTTTGCTGACTGAAAGGTAGGCAGTTCAAATCCACCAGCTGTTCTATGGGAGAAAGTTGTGGCAGTCTTAGATACTCTATGGGACAGTTCTGCTGTAACCTGTAGGGGCAGTGAATTAGAATTGACTTGACCCAGTGGATAGCAGTAAGTTACCAGTGAGAGTGGTCCAGGTAGAGGAAGAACTGCATGTCACCTTCATCTAATGTTACATGTTTCTGGTAAGAAGTACCAGATGAATCCTCACCAAAAGAAACTTAGATGATAGATTTGAAAATTTTTTCTGCATGGTTTTCTTCTTTTCTGTATTTTGCAAATGTACTGTAATTTGTGTATCACTTTCATAATATGTGTATGTGTGTGTTAAGTGCCATCGAGTCAGTTCCAACTCATAGTGACCTTGTATAGGGTTTCCAAGGCTTTAAAAATCTTTGTGGGAGCAGAAATTCTCATCTTTCTTCCACAGAGCGGCTAGTGGACCCGAATTGCCAACTTTGTGTTCGCAGTTCCATGTTTAACTTTTAGAGCCATCCTGTAATAAAACCAATTTTAAAATGCAGAAGGAAGGAAAATGTTATCTTGTAAATTATTTGTGGTGGTGGTTATGTGCCATGCAGTTGGTTCTGACTCATAGCGACCCTGTACAGGGTTTCCAAGGCTGTAAATCTTTACATGAGCAGAAAGCCTCATCTTTCTCCCGTGGAACAGCTGGTAGTTTCGAACTGCTGACCTTAAGGTTTGCAGCCCAATTCATAACCACTATGCTAGCAGAGCTCCTTTGTAAGTTATTAGCACCAAAGATTTAAGGTTTTCTTTAGGAAGCCTGAGGGTTGGGAAAGTGGTCAGTGCTAGTTTCTCTGATCCTGTGGTACTAAGAGTGCTGTCTTAAGTGTTATCTAACATGAACTGTACAAGAAAGAGCATGGGGACCTGGAGGAAATTGAAATAACAGAAATGTCACTATCTGGGAGAGGGCAGTTTTGATAAATAGATAGATAGGGCTTTATACTAGCTCCATGACAAGTTGAAAAATAGTCATTCTCAAATGTAAAAGTCCCTCTCTGACTCTTCCTGGAATCTCGAAGGTGACATCCAGGTAAGTCTGAGGAAGTAGAGAAGGGATGGAAGGTGATTTAATGAATCTCTTTATATTACAAAAAATGTTTCATACTGAGAAAGGAATCTATAGTATTCAATTTGGGCTTTAGATCGGTAGGTCACCTGGATTAAGCCCCTTAGAGTAAGTTTGTGGTTGTGTTTTGTTGGGTATTATAGAGTCAGTTTTGACTCATAGGGACTCCAGGTGACAGAACAGAACTGTCCATAGGGTTTATTGGCTGTAATGTTTATGGAAGCAGATTGTCAGGTCTTTGTCCCATTGAGCCTACTGGGTATGTTTGAACAGCCAACCTTTAGGTTAGCAGCCAAGTGCTTAACCATTGTGTCACCAGGACCCTCTTATGTGAATTTGTTGTTGTTAAGTGTCAAATTGGTTTCAACTCATAATGACCCTGTGTAGGGTTTCTGAGGAACAGTTATTTTGAACCACTGACCTTGTGGTTAACAATCCAGTGATTATCTTATAGTGCCACACCAGATTAGCTATGCTACTGTATAACTGACATCTCAGTTTGAGGACTAAGGTGCACCTGACCCAGGCCATGGTATTTTCAATAACCTCATATGGATGCGAAAGCTGGACCGTGAATAAGGAAGATCGTAGAAGAATTGATGCCTTTGAATTGTGGTGTTGGAGAAGAATATTGAAAGTGCCGTGGACTGCCAAAAGAACCAATAGATCCGTTTTGGAAGAAGTACAACCAGAGTTCTCCTTGGAGGCCAAGATGGCTAAGCTTC